TGCAATTGTAGGAGAAGAGCAGGCAGAGCTGGGAGGCAGAGTTAAGCATGTCATCAGCTTTGAGCCATTATGTGGCCACAAACGATTCAAGACCAACCCCTCTTGAATTCCATTGACTGTTATCTGGTGCCATTTTAGTATTGAACTTTAGTTGCCTAGATTCTTATGTATAGGCTTGGGCAGTGCTTTTTTTCTAAAAAAAAAAGGTGCCGGAACTCACACACGTCATAAAACCCGCCTTGCCTACCCTATAAGGTTCCATCCAAAAAAGGTGCTGGAACTCCGTTCTGGGCGTTCTATGAGAAAAAAAGCCCTGGGCTTGGGCAATAAATATTCTGAACTGCAACTTAACATACCATCCTGATCCTTTGCACCTGACATTAATCTTGAGTTGATCAGATTAATATCAGGACAAAGGATTAGGACCATGCATTAAGTTGCAGTTCAGAAGATTCAGACTTCTCTCGTGATATTTGGACTTAAACAGGCCCACCAGAATCCAGGAGTTTCTGATAAGTAAATCTTATTGTTGAAAAATTAAGAAGCCATTAAAAAAGCGCTCTAATCACTGCTACGTAACAAATGCAAGCTCTGTTTATAATATCAATATTCAAAAGCTTTTTAATAAAATGAAATGAAGGAAGCAAGTTTTAAGAAGAGACTGAACAGCCATTTTCTGGAATGATATAGGGCAGGGGTAGGCAACCTTGGCTCTTTTATGACTTGTGGACTTCAACTCCCAGAATTCCTGAGAATTGGCTCTGGAATTGTGGGAGTTGAAGTCCAGGAGTCATAAAAGAGCCAAGGTTGCCTTCCCTTGGTATAGGGTCTCCTGCTTGAGCAGGAGGTTGGGCTAGAAGACCTCCAAGGTCCCTTTCAACTGTTATAATTATAAATTGAAGTGTGCCTTTTTCTTCTGCCTACTCTATGTCAAATTTCCTTCTGTTCCTTGTTTAGTACAACTTAATCTAGCTTTAGCTGTTTCCTTGTGCCTATATATAAGAAATAGCTTTCACAGATATGCTCATGTTATTGCTATGTATTAGTTAACCACTTGGGTGAACTTAGTTTACATTAATGTAAACTTTTGAAAATTCTTCAAGAATGGCGGCATAATATGCTCCTTGGGATTAGCTAATGGAGATGTAAACCGAGAATGGATACCTTAATGCCAGTTAGGAGCAGCTATGAAACTGTCACTGCTGGTGCACTAAATACAATATACAAATAGTCTCTTGGTGTAATAATTGGTTCCCAGGCTGATAAGAATTCAGAAAACAATTATGTAAATAACCAGCTACAAATTTCTCCATCAGCACTGGAAAGTTCTCCTTTTTGGTAAATCATAGGAAGGATATTGGGGGAAAAAAATTTAAACTCTCCAAAAGTATTTTAGAGATTAGTTTTAAATGGGAAATAGTTCACTTGCTGGAATTCTTGTAACTCCATTGCATTCCCAATAAATACTGCTCTAAAGAGAACTGTGTGAAAATCATTGAAGAAAATAACCTTTGGTTTTAGGCAGCTGCCCCTGATCTGTGCGGTCATTTGGAGATCTAGAAAATATTAAGGATCTCTCCTAAATGTCTATGGAGATTCCCAGTCATGCAGGTCATAGCTATCCCAAAAGTGTTTTGCAAAAGGCAGCTGGACTTTCTTAGATTTTCCCTTGAAAAATTTTCACTTCTCATCCAAGAAGCTTCTTCAGTTCTGTCTAAATGGTGGGGATTGGAAAGATTTATATCAGGGGTCTTCAAACTTGGCCCTTTTATGACTTGTGGACCAACTCCCAGAATTCCTCAGCCAGACAACATGTTCACTAAGCATTTATGAACTGTACAAATAGAAAACTAATAAAATATTATATTAAAAAAGGAAATCTGGAATAAAGTGATAATTTCAAAGGTCCCATGATCTGGCCCTCTCTGTAGCTCCTGAAAGCCATCTAAAGAGGGGGTGGGATTTATTATATGGATGGCATGCCTATTTAATTTACAATAAAAAGGTGGATAGGGCTTTTAAGTCTCATATTTTAAGAATTTCTCTACTTCAAGTTTGGAAGAAATATTATAGAATAGATTCAAGAATTCCATTATGGGCTATCCCAGGGCATGCAATAGAAGGAATAAGGAAAGGAGTGAAGATGCACAGTATTTCTTATAAACAATTACTTAATTGGGATGGGAAGAATTGGCAATTAAAACATATAGATGAATTAGCACAAGAAAATATTATTTATTCGTGGTTTCAGTATAGACAATTATTGGAAAGGTGGAAGATAGATTATAAAGTGGGTTTGATTAGAGAGGATGAAAATTTGTTGAAACAAATTAAAGATCAAAGCCGATTTCATATAAAAAGAATTTATGATGTATTAGTGGAATTGGATTCAGAAACAGAATTAGTTAAAGATTGCATGGTTAAATGGGCTCAAAATTTTGATGAGCCGGTTTTATTAGAAACATGGGAGACAATTTGGGTGAGGAATGTTAAATTTACGCAAGCTCAAAATTTACGGGAAATTTTTTATAAAATGTTTTATAGATGGCACCTTGATCCACAAAAGATGTCTCATATGTATTCAAATTTGCAACCTAAATGTTGGAGATGTGGTTGTTTGGATGCAGCGTACTATCATATTTGGTGGTCATGTAAAAATATAAAGGCTTTTTGGATTAAGATTTGGTGGAATATTCAAAAAAATTTTAAGAGAAGGATAAAATTCACTCCACAATTGTTTTTGTTAGGTATTATTGTTGATTGTGATGATAAAGAAATTATTTTAATGTTAAATTTAATTACAGCGGCAAAGTTGTTGATAGGACAATATTGGAAGAAGGAATTTTTGCCTACTTTGGAGGAATGGTTTTTTAAAGTTTCTTACTTATCTGAAATGGCAAAAATTTCGGCTTATTTGAAAGATCAATCGCAAGAGAAATATCTCTTGGTGTGGAAAAGATGGATAAACTTTATACAATATAAGTATGATATTAAAAGATATTATTTAGCTTTTGAATAATTTATGTTTAAATTTTAAGATAATAAGTATTTTTATTATATATATATATTGGACTCAAAGTACTTAAAAATTTGTGTTTTTTTTAATGTAATTTTTGTTTGAGGTTTACTTAAGTTTAAATGTTTTGTATTTTTAGTTCTAGTTAACCCTGTATTCAGCTCTGGGAAGATGGGGGGAGGGTTTCTGGGAGGGTGGGGAGGTAGTGGGAGAGGGATTTTATTGTAAAATTGCAAAAAAATTTAATAAAAAAAAAGATATGGGCTGGGTTGATCACTCCATCTAAAGACCTGGTTTATTTTAATTATGGTTACTTGAAAAACCAACAATGATTGAATCCACTTATCTCACTAAGCCACAAACTATGGTTTGCACATTGCTGGGTTCACTCAACATGCTAAGGCCAAATCTTTTGTAGGGCATAATGCAATCTGTGAATAGCTACTTATGTTGAGACTTTGAATGTCTGCAAATGACTCTCCTGCAGCCTTCAAACCGTATAACTGGGGGGGGGGGGGAAGAAGAGCATTGCAATTTGCTTCCATGCTCCAAAGCCGAAAACAGACTGGCTCTGTTTCGGATGCCAATGCTGGCTTGCAAGCCCCTCCTGGCCCAGCCTACAGAGACTCCCGCCACCCATTTCTTAACTTTTCCCACCTTCTTTGAAGAAACAAGCTCACCAGAACAGCTGAGACATCAAAGATCAAAAAAAAAAAAAAAAAAAAAAAAAACTGGCCAGGAAACATTGGAGTTTGACTGAAAGCCTTTTGGAAGCCACCCAATGAGTGAGCCCTGGCTTCTGTTCCAGTCTTAGAGCCCTCATGACCATCAAAAATATCATTTCTCCTTCTTAAGGCACTTGCAAAGAGAGCTGAAGCAACTGAATGCACACTTGCTTATCTGATTGCTTCTGCGTTTATAAAATTGACATTTGCTTTTTTGTGTCCCACCTTTATTATTTTTACAACTAATTCAAGGCAGCGAATATATCCGACATACCTTCCTCCTCCTAGTTTCCCCACAACAGCCTTGTGAGGTGGGCTGAGCTGAGAGAGAGGGGGACTGGCCCAAAGTCACCCATTTGGCTTTCATGCCTAATGTGGGACTAAAATTCACCCTCTCCTGGTGATTGGCCTAAGTCAGTGGTGGCGAACCTATGACACGCGTGCCAGAGGCAGCACTCAGAGCCCTCTCTGTGAGCACTCGTGCCTTTGCCCCATCCCTGCCTCCCCGCACAGCCCCCTCCTACCAGCAGCCTCCCCGGAGGAGAGTCGCCCCCGGGCATGGCCCGCGCAGAGCAGCGTAGCCAAGGACATGGCAGCTGGGTGGCGGGGACAAGACTCCGCCCTCGCGCTCCATCATGCGCAGATGATGCTGCAGGGGGCGGGTGGAGGGTGTGGCCACCATGGTCCTGCTGGGCCGCCTGGGTGATCTGTTGTGGCGGGCCGTGGAGGCGGGTGGCCCTGCGGGCAGGCGGGGCACGGGGTGGCAGGCAGGGCGGGGCACGGGGTGGTTTTTGAGCACTCGGTCTCTAAAAGGTTCGCCATCACTGGCCTAAGTCATTCAGATAGTTTTCATGCTTAAGGAAGGACTAGAACTCACCGTCTCCTGGTGATTGGCCTAAAGTCACCCAGCCAGCTTTCAGTCTCCCGCATTCTAGCCTAGTGCCCTAGCCACTAGACTAGACCAAACTTGCCTCCCAAATCCTGGGGCTGGAATGGAATAAGAGCAAGTCCCAGTTGTGGGGGGGGGGGGGGAATCCTTTAAAGCAAGCTTTTTAAGATGTCCCTGAGATGTAGGAACTGCTAACACCTTCAGCAGCATGATCCCCAAAGCCAAGGATCATGGGAGATGTAATCCTACAGGTGGGAGATGAGAGGTTGGGGAAGGCTCCTGGAATCTCCAGAAATGATATGACAAACCAGGAATGGTCAGAGCAGATGCAGCCACTTCAGTGTTCTTTTTCCGTTTCCTCCCTCCCCAGATGCAACCGACGTGGAGAAAAAATCAAGGTCCAGAAAACCAACAGACTTGAAACTCCATATTTAGCCAATAGGATTAAGGACATCAGAAGTATGCAGTTTAAACATGGCAATATGTTAAAGGTAAATTTAAACCATATGGGATGCGCCCAGTTCTCCTTTTCTTGAATTTCCCAGGAACTAACTCTCTTCCCAGGACCAAATTCTTCACATGCCTGGAATTTTTCCACCCTGGGATCAGTGGCCGCTTCTCTGCTGGCTTTTTTGGAATGCTGGACACTGACCATGACATCACTCACTCCCCCCTCCTGGTCCAAAACCTCTCCAAAAATGCATGACTCATCCACAACCCTTTTGGCCTCAAGCCTGAGAACGTGCAAGGAGCACTTTGGCCATGAGCTTTCTCACAGCGAAGGGGCCTTTGGATGTTTGAAAGCACAACTCTCCTCACAGCCCCCCCCCCCCCAATCTCCCCTCGCACAGCTTTTTCAGCCATGTTCGGTATGCCATACGTGGCAGAGTCCCAGACAATATAGAGATCAACCAAATATTAAATGGAATCTCACTTTCTCCAACTTGGGAAAATGTCCTTTTTAGGACATTTTCTTTTTTCCCTTTCTTCTTTCCCAGCCTCCCTTTTTCCTTCCTTCCTTCCTTCCTTCCTTCCTTCCTTCCTTCCTTCCTTCCTTCCTTCCTTCCTTCCTTCCTTCCTTCCTTCCTTCTCTCCCCTCCTCTCCTTCCTTCCTTCCTTCCTTCCTTCCTTCCTCCTTTTCTCCCCTCCTCTCTCCTTCCTTCCTCCCTCCTTCCCTTCACCTTCCTTCCTTCCTTCCTTCCTTCCTTCCTTCCTTCCTTCCTTCCTTCCTTCCTTCCTCCTTCTCTCCCTTCCTCTCACCTTCCTTCCTTCCTTCCTCTCTCCCTTCATTCCTTCCTTCCTTCCTTCCATCCATCCATCCTCCCACCTTTCCTTTCTTCCTCCCTCCCTTCCTTTCTTCCTTCAGAATAATATTAAGGGTTATCTTGATTAAAATGCAATGATGTTGCGTCGTTTTCCGTTTTCCTAGCCTCTTTTTATTCTTTCTTTTCTTGGTCTTCATCTGCACAAAATGAGGGAAGGAAGAACCCATCAAAATATCCTTGTGTATTAAACAGAACTAAAATCAAACTGCTAAACCTTAATCCATTTCAGCCCCTGGCTGATCTGATTCACTAGAAGCTGAGCAAGGTCAGGCCTAGGTAGTACTTTGGAAGGGGGATATGTACCATCCAATATGGAGTTGCTTGGGGGTTGGGTGGCATATGTGTTCAATCAAACAATCAATCAATCAATCACCCATGGCTTTTGCTACATGAGAGAAGTAAAGCTGGTCAGAAGAAGCCGAGGGCAAACAAGTTTGGCATTTGCTGCCAAGAAAACAACACAATCAGGTCTATTAAACCACCCGGCCTGGGGATCAAGTCAAAGAAGACTTGACCTATATAGGAATTTGGGAGAAGGGTAGCATCTCCCCCTGCAGGATACAGATACATGTTTTTAGATATTTCTTTTCCTTAAGGAAACTTTAAACCAGTGGTTCTTAACCTGTGGGTCGGGACCCCATTTGGGGTCGAACGACCATTTCACGGGGGTCGCCAAACAACGCAGTCCGCCATTTTTCCCCCTTTTCCTTAGCTGTGCTACTCCCTTTTATTCTATTGGCTTTTGAAAGCCAATAGAACAGACTCTCTTGAATAGAGTCTAATTCTATTGGCTTTCAAAAGCCAATAGGAATTGTCCAGGCTGTCTCTGCCCTGGCTGAGCCCACCAAAAGTCCCAGTCTGCAAACGGGACTGCACTAGTTGAGTAGTCCTCGACTTACGACCGGTTGAGTAGTCCTCGACTTACGACCGGTTGGGGGGTCGCAGCATTAAAAAGGTTGAGAACCACTGCTTTAAATCAATAATAGGACAATGCAAAAAAGATGAATTTATAAAACAAGGATAGAGGGAATATTTTGATTGGATTTTAAGTCAATCTCGTTAACAGCCACCAGGAATAAGGGCAGATAGAGTGAACCCCAGGACTTACTGAGCTAAAGACACTTAAGAAAAGCCTTGAGGAAGGTTATAACAGAATGAGAGCTGGAAGGGACCTTGGAGGTCTTCTAGTCCAGCCCCCTGCTCAAGCAGGAGGCCCTATACCATTTCAGACAAGTGGCTGTCCAGTCTCTTCTTTAAAATCTCCAGTGATGGATGTCCCAAAGATGCTTTTTTATAAGGCAATTGGACTTTCTCGATTTTCTTTGAAGACGTTTCGCTTCTCGTCCAAGAAGCTTCTTCAGGTCTGACTGGATGGTGGGGAATGGAAGGATTTATACTCCTTGCAGACAGGCTATTGAAGAGAAGGACAAGGGGTGGCATTATAGCAGTATTTGAATACTTGATGGGCTGTCATAGGGAAGAGGACATCAATTTATTCTCTGAAGCACCTAAGGGCAGGACAAGAAGCAACAGGTGGAAGCTTATCAAAAGAGAGAGCCAATATGAAACTAAGGAGAAATTTCTTGATAATGAGAAGGATTAATCAGTGGAACTGAAGCTATGGGTGCTCCCTCACTGAAGCACACAGTGCTAGGCTGCATTAACAGAGGGATAGAATCAAGATCACGTGAAGTATTAATACCACTTTTCAATGCCTTGGTAAGGCCACACTTGGAATACTGCATCCAGTTTTGGTCACCACGATGTAAAAAAGATGTTGAGACTCTAGAAAGATACAGAGAAGAGCAACAAAGATGATTAGGGGACTGGAGGCTAAAACATATAAGGAACGGTTGCTAGAATTGGGTATGTCTAGTTTAACGAAGAGAAGGACAAGGGGGGACATGATAGCAGTATTCCAATATCTCAGGGGCTGCCATAAAGAAGAGGGAATTAAGCTATTTTCCAAAGCACCTGAAGGCAGGACAAGAAGCAACGGGTGGAAACTAATCAAGGAGAGAAGCAACCTAGAACTAAGGAGAAACTTCCTGACAGTGAGAACAATTAATCAGTGGAACAGCTTGCCTCCAGAAGCAGTAAATGCTCCAACACTGGAAGTTTTTAAGAAGAGACTGGACAGCCATTTGTCCGAAATGGTGTAGGGTTTCCTGCCCGAGCAGGGGGTTGGACTAGATGACCTCCAAGGTCCCTTCCAACTTTACTACTATTATTATTACTATTATTATTATAAGATTTCAAAGAAGAAATTGGCCAGCCATTGTCCATAATGGTATAGGGCAGGGGTTGGCAACCTTGGCTCTTTTATGACTCGTGGACTTCAACTCCCAGAATTCCTGAGCCAGCTATGCTGGCTCAGGAATTCTGGGAGTTGAAGTCCACGAGTCATAAAAGAGCCAAGGTTGCCTACCCCTGGTATAGGGTCTCCTGCATGGGCAGGGGGTTGGACTAGAAGATCTCCAAGTTCCCTTCCAGATTTTTATTCTAGTCTAGTCTAGTCTATTTTAGTTTAGTCTAGTCTAGTCTACTGTATTCTAAAAAGGGTGGGGCTTTAATCACACTGTCACATCACACTCTTGACACTTTTGATATACACACACACACACACAAACACACAAACACACAAACATAAACACACACACACAATGCAGCAGGGCATTGCACTCTCTAAAACACATTTTAAGGCATTTAGTTGAGTACCTTTTAGCAGTTTTTTGCCATGATTCTGGTTTTAATACTATATTCTTTGTCAGATCATATTTAATGCACTGAACTGATCTTTATCTGTAGACCATAATTTAACTGGTGCAGACTTCTCCCCTTTTTAGATTTTCAGATTTTATTCCTGGCCTATCACCACTAATACCCAATTCCTTGGCATGCAGGTATAAAAGAGGAAAAAGTTCAATTGCACAGCTGCACCCACCATCTTGAAAATTTTAACCACTCCATGAACACTGCTGGGGTTTTTTTTAATCTCTCATTGAAGATGAATGCAGCCCAGTTACCATAGGCCTGAATTCCAAATTCCTTCCCACTAAGTCTCTTTAGGGAAGCCAGCCTTTTAATAAAGCTATAATCAAGTTGGTAGGTATCTGGAGAAACCAGACTTTTCTGATGATGTTCTACAACTTTACAAGCAATTTAGCGATGAAAGAGGCAACCTAAGCTTATCACATGCAGACCTTATTCCCATCAAAAATAGAACTTTCAGCAAACAGGCCAATTCCCTTCCCATCATATCCTAGAAAGTACTTTTATTGGTGTTTGGTTAGCCAGATAAAATAGTAAAAATGTCAGTGCTCTGACAGCCAGTCTTTAATGGAATGTGGTATGAGGTTGGAATTAGCTCAAATTCAAATACTTTCTCATTGCATTCCTTCAACTGTCCCATCCTCTTGCAGTGCTGGAGAGCAATTCCCCGTTTATCACTTAGGTTATGTTATGGTCTCATTGCATTTCAGCTGGTAGGAATACAGAAATTTCAAAAACAAAACAAAAAGCAGCTCCTAAGGAATGTGTTGCTGGTAGCCAATGTATACCATCCTTGTAGCAATAGCATTTAGACTTATATGCAGCTTCATAGTACTTTACATCATCTCATTAAAAGAGTTAAAGTTTCAGAACTAACTTAATTTTTAATCCCTATAGCCGAATACTTTGAGTCCTTCATTAAAAGCAGTACAATATGGAAAACTGATCACAACCCCTATAGTTGGGATTAACAGAGGCAAACACTGCTTCTCCAATGGCCAACAAATTCATCCACGACAAGGAAGGATGAATCTTCAGGTGGGCTTCTTTGGCTGCTCTTCAAATTCCCTGATCTTTGTTCCTGGCTAGGGCTCCACTTTGCAGATGGCACATTCACCAAAATTGAGAATAAAGCAATGCTAAAGAGCAGTTCGGTCCCTTGTAAATGAGACCCTATCTCTTACGATGTAGGTTATTCTTCAAAAGGGCTTTCAGGGATAGAATAAGAGTAACAGAATTGGGAAGGACTTTCGAGGTCTTCTAGTCTAACTTACTGCTCAAGCAAGAGATCCTATACCATTCCAGACAAATGGCTGTCCAGTCTCTTCTTCAAAATCTCCAAGTGATGGAGCACCCACAACTTCTGGAGGCAAGCCATTCCACTGATTAATTGT